GGATGAATTTGAAGCCCGCGAACACACACCCGATTTCCGGTTTTCGTTTTTGTTTCGTCTATTGATAAAATCGCCGTCACCATTTTGAAAAACAAAGATTTCCTTTCGGTATGATTGACATTTGATTCCAAAAATGATTTGTACCTCGAACGTGTTGTAGTTTAACCAGTTTTAATTCTGCGAATTACGATCCGCCACGGAAGTAAGTTTTGGTTGCTTTGATTATACTAGCTAATTTATAGTACCTTTTTCTGCATGGATTCCTAGTCACAAAATACTACATCTGTTCGAATCAACCGTCGTTCGACTTTCTTCGATCGAATAATCAAGTTGTCCAATTGCGATTAAAATCAAGGCCTAAATCAACTATCTAGAACAATAAAAAGGATTCAAATTTATTATACGATTTGTAGTGGTCGTCCGAACTCAGAAGGTAGGGAAGTGATAATCGGAAACAAGTTCTGCGTTCTTGGCCAAGAAACAACAGATCTGAAAATATCACAACACTGTGCTTTTAATTTGTTATAAATCACAGAGGAGAGAGTTGTAGCTGAAAAAATGACCTGAATGGTGTGAAAATTATTCGATCCGACGGAATTTTCAAGTTATTAGTGTTTCGAAAACCAGAGGTAAACAAAATCGATGCTGGGATATTGATCAAATGAAGCCTTTAAGTGCTACTGTGGTTCTTTCTTTATTAACTCCGAGCTTTCGCCGTTCTACGGCATCATTAGGGAGGATAAACTCTTTTCGGTAAAACAAAATATCCGACACTAACATTCCAACTAAATATTTTGGAAGATATCGATGGGATAGAAATACCTGTCTTCGGTCATAGGAAGGCTAGAAAGCGTTATCCACCAGATAACTCTCTGTCCAAACCATATTACGTATGACGCGGATAGCAATTTATCGGGTGGATAGCGTTATTCAGCCTTCCCACAACCAGGCCCTAGATTTCAGCCAATCATCTGTTTTATTGCGGTAACAATTGGATGTAATTGAACAAGTTTGAGATACTACACAGTGATTCTAACAAACTTGCCCTGGAGACAAATTCTCGCAATACTAATCACCATACAGTAAACTATCAAAAAGTTGTTTTCGTCAAGAGATGGTTATACAACCGTAAAAGTGATCAAATTTTCCAATTTTCCTTTCTTCAATACAAGGTATCCTCTGAGAGTTTTCGAAAGTGCAGTTGCTACTGTGAGAGGGTCTAAGAGAGATTAATTTAGACGAGCGAAAGAGTAGGCGGCCCGATAAATGGTGATTGTGGATGCTGCCTGATGTCCGCCGTTTTTCCCCTAGCAAGCGCTTTTTCGCTCGCCGCTGTCTGAGGCAAACAAGAACACGCCTTCCCGCGATTGCCTCAACACGCCTTAAATTCCAAGTTAAATTTGCATGACTGTATCACGATTCTAGAAGAATTTGCATTCAAGGTGGTGTCTTGTAAAATAAGAAAAATTTTTTACCTAAGGCACTCCTTCACAACTCTTAAACTTGGATCAATCTCGTGGAAAAATGAAAATCGTGGCCTTAACAAAGCTGAAAATAAAAATAGGGTCGACTTCCCCAAACTCTCTCTTATTTCGCTTTTAAAGTTTAAAAGCGAAATACGACAGCTGATCAATGAAAATAATTCCTTTATTGTATTCAACGCCATTCGGTTTTGAAAGCTGAGGTCACTTTCTGGATTTACTAATTTCTTTCTTTCTTTATTTTTGATCTTAAGTTACCACCCCATTATTATTTTTAATGATCAAATATCTCGAAACATCAAGGAAAAAATGAATCCGTCGTTGAGACACAAATTCTGAAATGGGGGTGGACTTAGTTGTCGATTACGGTTTATTACCTCACTTTAGAACTATTCAGCTCGTTGAGACTTCCCAATTCCCGAGTCAGGATATACTTTGCCCAGGATCTCAGCAGATCTTAGCATGATCAGTTGAATTCAGTGCCCGTGAAGAAGCTTCGTGTGGTGGAAATTTGCACGCTGGTTACAGGGCCTGTCTCTCAAAACAAGCGTGTTTTCAAAAACGAAAGGTTTTGACGTACTTTTTATTTGAAAACGCAAATAGCGTTGGGCTGCTTTCGACAGGCGGGCGGCACGAATTGGCGTCATACGATCATTGATTAAAATAGGGCAGAAACTGGTACATTTCAAATCAAGAAATTACCCGAGAGCCGAAATAAAAAATATAAAAAAAATCTATAAAAAGAGAAAAAAAGCAAATTGGAGATATTTAAATCAAAGCACACGTTAACAGGAGACGAAAAATAAATGAAAAGAACAAAACAAACAAACAAACAAAAAAAACAGATGTTCCAATGTCTTATGTTTACAATTAAAATAGACCATTCTCGATTCTGAATATTAAGAAAATTGAATGGGAATGAAACAGGAGACAAAGAAATCAATAGCAAAAGTTTTGTTTTCGAATGGTAAAAAAACAGCATCGCATCTGTTATTTTCAGCGACGTTGTTGGTTTTACAAGTTCCCGGGCATGGTAGGCATCCCATCGTTTCAAGAGAAACCTTTTTACTCCTCCTGTCAATATCGAGAAACAAATATTTTCATATTGCACTAAGGCTCTTAAAAGCTCGTGAAAGCAGAGACCTCGACAAATACCATGCTTCGAACACTCATCTCAGAGTTCTGCAAATCGTCACACACACATACACCCTCTTAGAAAAGTAGACAGATTTCTGGTCTCGCCTAAGACATTTAAACTAACTTCTTCGATACTTTGTCAGTTCTGTGTTTGTGTCGCTCATTCCACAAGTCTAATCGCTGATCTCTTTAAAGTGCTGAGAAACAGGTGAAAGCATTATTTTAATTTTCCCAGTTTAATTTACCACGATGAAGTTTTCAAGTCACGTTCTGGTTTTGAGATTGCCATCTGCCTGATCAGTGCTAAGTGTTTACTTTGGTCCCAGGCCCTTATAGAAAAGTATTTAAAAAACGTGCATAGACACTTTCGCTTGATTATCTTCCGCGATCACCGTTGTAAACATTTTTAAATAGCCAAAACCGCAAAACCGAAAATCCCAAGGCCCCTCCTCTACGAGACGCAAGTATTTATCTACAACCATTTCAAAATTCGAGCAGGCCCAGAAGGTTATCTTTTTAACTCTTTCCGGTATTTCCGAGAGGTTTTGATAAAGTCCAGATAAGTGAATTGATCTATGATTGCGAAGGAAGTTCTATTACTTTTTGTTTTTTGTGGAGTGGAATTTACCTCTGCCACATCGGAACAATGGGAAAAGAGAACGCAATGCCGTAACCAAAAGGTAATTTGTCCTTGCAAGGACAGGCGAGGAGTGGGTGGACATGTGCTTGTGGTAACGTGTAATGATCAAAAGGATCCAAAAATTCCAGTTTGCCGAGGGAAAGCTTTATACTCAGAGGAGTGTGGAAAAGGTGAGCTTGTTGCGATTTCAGTGCAATTTAAGGTTTATATTTAAATTACGGTGCTACTTTAATGTGATTTGTTAAGCTTAACTTTGTAGAGATCTCTTGTGATTTCCTTAAAATACAAAATTCTGCAAGAGAAGAGCTTTAATTTTTGTTGAACCTGTTCCTTTGGGCCCTAAATCTCTCCCTGGGGAGGATGCTCAAGGAAAGTGCACATGTGCACAGCGGTGTTTAAAACCTTTAACTCCTTAGATCCAATCAGTAATTCTTCCTACTGACTGCCAATATTTCCTGTGTACTAGGCAAAGCAGATATTTTCATTTAGCCAATTAGCTTGTTGGTTCTCTCGGCTTGTTTGCAAGATAACATATAGGAATCATATGGTGAAATTACTTGTTTTCAATTCGGGGTGATAAATGGTTAAAATCCTGACAAGGAGAATTTGCTTAATGTTCAGATCTTTTTGACGTTGGCAGTTGATTCCTTTCCTCTTATGACTTTAGTCTCTTTGTCTCTGATCAAGCAGTTTAGAAGCTTGTCAATCCACAGGCGACCCAAACTCCAGCTTTGAGATGATCATCTTGCGCTATATTAGTCAGGCAGAATTATAAGAGTTTGTATGAGAATATTTACGACCGCTCTAAGGAATTAAAAATAGTTTTCCACGTACATAAGAAAAGCATAAAAAAGGGCTTTTCTTATGTACGTTGAAAACCTCGAATGGACAACCCGCTAAAATGGGATATTTTCATCAAAGTAAGCGGTCGGATAACAAGTAATGGCTGTGGAAGTAAGGTGAGGTATTTTTATTGAGAATTTGAGCTATTTTTTAGTTATTATTTTTTTATTAAAAAAATTAACATCTATGTTAGCGTACAGAAAGTGGTATGTTGCTCGCACCAATCAAATCGTTTAGGGTATGTATGTCGCACCAATCAGATCGCCGCATTAGGATATGTATCTCGCACCAATCAGAGCGCCGTTTTTGTTCTTTGGTTTGAGAGGTGTTCAAATTTCAACGAAGAGGGGTTCGGAGAGAGCGGTTCGTAAATTGGAATCATCTTTTAGAATGAGAAATGTTGCCTTTTCTGTGTTTTAAACGTGTATTTTACCGCGCCCTATGAGAAATGCGATACTACTGGACAGATAAAAGATATCAGATTACCAATAGTAAACGTGTTGCTCATGCTGTGAAAATGATGGATAGTTGTACGAGAGAAAAGGGAGGTCTGTGCACTGTAGCGCGATCATGGTTATTGTTCCTTCACGAGGAGAGTGAGAGGAAAAATTTTGAATCGAATATTGCTTGAGGTGTTGGTGAATTGCACCAAACATTTTGATTTGAGCAGTTCTTTAAGCTGTGTTGCAAGATTCATGATTTGTTGAGTGTGCCGATTATATTTTTCTGGATTGGTTTGCTCGGTGCTATCTCTAAATGAATATCTGATTAAAATTATCTATAGTCGATTCTGTGTATGTTTTCGATGCCTGGAGAATATGATCTTGTGGAGTCGTTTGTGTTTGACCGAGGACGATTTCAGATACCATCGTTAGCATGTTTATTTGATTTTGTTATCTGGAATAAATGATTTACGGAGGTAAGTTATTATGATGTGATCTACTAACGTCGAAAATATTTCAAGTCAAAGGAAAAGGTTTTGGTCTCGGTCTGCATTTTTTGTCAACAAAATAAACACATACTGCTTAAAAGATGATAACACGGACCACGTGCAAAGCTGTCAATTGTTTCTCGAATGTTGCGCGTGTTCAATATTCAATAGTGACATCTCATTGACATCTACATCCAATTTAATTACGTTGGTGAAATCTGTACAGACATTACACCAGCCAACTCGCGCGCAAAGTGAGAAAACTATATGAAGGCTTGAAATTATATTACGATCGATTTTCATCAAGAAATGGGCCAGGAGTATTCCACAATAGTGCAAATAATCGTGAAAGCTGATCGCGGAAAAGCGATTGCGTGACACTCGCTAAGTTGTAAGATGACATGTTATCACATACCAAACGAAAAATCTCTTCAGATTCTCAGTCTGCATTTTGTACCCATTATGTAGTCTGTAGTCTACATTTTGTATCCGGTCTGCAGGCTGCTGTCTGCGCTTTGTACTACAGTGGTTAAGCAAGATAACGGGAACGTCACCAGCACGCACAGCAAAGATGTCAATAAGAAACTGGGTCGAGAACGCCGTCGCGTTGTGTTCAAGAATGATTTAGCAGTCGATGCAAGAGAATCCTCACCTTAGCTTTTTAAAGATCACCATCACCTTTGAATTTTCGGTTTTATAGACCACTCTAAAGAAAACGAAATTATCTTCTTTGAAAGTTATGTAACAAGCGCAAACAGAGGATAGTTATAAATACCATAAACTATTATGTTATAGATAAATCCTCATGGGCGATTAAACTTTGAAACTATTCCATTCCAGTTTAGTCTCGAGTTTGCTGATTCATCTATCAAATTTTGAAGCCCACTAAATTATTTTTTTCTATGATTTGTGTCGCTGTCATTTCGTTTTTGTGCTACTAGATTTCACCACTACTCGTTTTTCTTCATAATTTGTAAAGGATAAGTTGGAAATCGTCGTCGTTTTTCCCCTTGTTTACTGAATACTCTTCTCAATCATGACAGTACATCTCTATTGAGCACTACTTTCTTAGAGTTGAAATGCATTTTGAACGGAATTATCAGGAGTTATGGCGAGACCATGTAGAAACCAAGCGACCCAAAGATGAAGTTGTTTACGATGAGTTCCTATTTATCCGTGAAAGAATGAAATTAACTCAGACTAGTCACCAACGAAACTGTTAGACTTAGGATTAAGACTGTGTTTCTGTTTCATTTTTTTTTTCGTTTTTGTTTGATTTATTCTTTTTAAAACGAATGAAGTCGTTCAAGACTGAATCAAATTAATAGAGGGAATCATTAATCATGATAAAGAGGGAATCATTAATCATGATAAAGAGAGAATCATTAATGTTTTCGTTAAGTCAGTATTGCCTCGATTTTCCAATATACAATGATAGACAGTAAATTTAACTTTTCACCCACAATTACCTCCAACCTTCTCTTTTGAACCAGAACCAAAAATTATATATGTTTAAAACACATGACATCATCCACCCTTATCAAATGTAATGGCATAATCATTTCAATTGTAATGCCTTCTTATCCCAACGTTACTTTGTTACTTTGCTACATTAGCGAACACTGAACTACTGCTCGTACTCTAAATATGACAATCAACTACAAAATTCCCTGAACCAGATAACATTAAACATAATCCAAAAAATCATGTAAGTCATCTGTCAATTCACGAGTTTGCTCACAGAGCACTTTAATTGTTCTTTGGTTTGAGAGGGGTTCAAATTTCAACGCAGTGATAGGGGATTCGGAAGAGAGCGGTTCGTAAAATGGAATCAGCTTTTAGAATGAGAAATGTTGGCTTTTCTGTGTTTTTAACGTGTATTTTACCGCGCCCTATGAGAAATGCAATACTAATAGACAGATAAAAGATATCAGATTACCTCTAGTAAACGTGTTACCCATGCTGTAAAAATGGTGGATAGTTGTTCGAGAGAAAACGGAGTTCTGTGCACTGTGACACGATCATGGTTATTGTTCCTTCACGTGGAGAGTGAGAGGAAAAATTTTGAATCATATATTGCTTGAGGTGTTGGTGAATTGCACCAAACATTTTGATTTGAGCAGTATTTGATTTTGTTATCTGGAATAAATGATTTACGGAGGTAAGTTATTATGATGTGATCTACTAACGTCGAAAATATTTCAAGTCTAAGGAAAAAGTTTTGGTCTCGGTCCACACTTTTGTCAACAAAATAAACACATACCGCTTAAAAATATGATGTCACGGACCACGTGCAAAGCTGTCAATTGTTTCTCGAATGTTGCGCGTGTTTAATATTCAATAGTTACATCCACTTTCATAAAGTTGATAAAATCTGTACAGACATCACACCAAACAACTCGCGTGCAGAGTGAGAAGACTATATGAAGGCTTGAAATGATATTACGATCAATTTTCATCAAGGAATGTTTCAGGAATATTCCAAAATAGTGCTTTTAAGAAAATTTATTTGGATGGAAATATATAAAAAATATTATTAAACGTTTGAACGTGTCCTTTAGTAGCATGTCGTAATGATGTGGGATATTGATCAAATGAAGCCTTTAAGTGCTACTGTGGTTCTTTCTTTATTCACTCCGAGCTTTCGCCGTTCTACGGCATCATCAGGGAGGACGATAAAATATTTGCGCTATGGTTTTAAACGTTGGAGGTGCCACTGTAAATTAGCATAGTGTAAAACTAGCCAGTAGGACGCATGAAAACTAAAAAATATTATAGTTAAGTATCGTTTTGCAGCTGGAAAATGCATGCAGAATGAGAGTCATCATGCATTGTGTGGTACTGATGTTTATAAGTTCATAATTAATCCTTTTTTCATAACTTAGTAGTATTATAGAAAGCAATTGTTACATTGACAGTAAGAGAAATTTGTAAAGCATGAAAGGATTTACTTTAACCCACAACTAGTAAGCAAAATAGGATGAAATAGCATTGTTCTTTAACCCTTTAACCCAGATCAAATTTGTAATTCTTCTCACTGTCAACTGTACAATTCGCACAATGTTTGGTCAAAGATTTTAGTATTGGATCAACTAATTATCCCCAAATTAACATTTTTCTTTATTCTCATCACTCATCTGGTTGATATTGTATTGATATTGTAAAGAGAAATTATGTCTTGGTCACTCATAGGAGCTGAAGGGCTAAGTCACAAAGAAATACCTCAGGGTTCTTTTAATTAAAAATCGTTTCTATAGCTTGTCTCTGTGCCTTGCATGCCTTGCTGCCTTGTGTATTTTGTAATACTCTTGGTCATTTGCATGTCCAATCAGTAGAAAATGATTTAATCAATCTGTTAAAGGATATTGTTGAAAGATATTATTTCAGATAGGGTATGTTGCATGCAAAGAGTAATTGCAATAGTTGTATTCAGTATTGTAAAGAAAGGTTTCTTGAGCAACCTAGGCTTTTGAATTGTGTCATTAATTGTGGATATTCAAGCAAAGTCAGGGTAACCTGTGGTTATTAACTTCATACATTATCAGAACCAACTCTTTTTTAGTTTG